AGATATATGATATGTGATGAAAGGGACGCAGAAGGATAGAAACGTGAACAGGCTGGAGGCGATATACCATTCTGCCCTGGGTCCTACTTTCCTGATGACAGCATCCTCGAAGTGTGGAACAGAACTGGCTAAATGTTCTGGAGCAAACAGAGAGAGCAGAACCACTTTTCAGTTATAAGCTTTTTCTTTTTTTTAGAATTCAAGCTTACACAGTTATCTATGCCCACTATATTCATAATTACATTTTAATATCTGCATACAAAAGCTATGTAAAAATTATTTTCTTCTCCCAAATATACAAATTTTCTCTTTAGATAGTTTAAAACATTTGTGATCACAGATTTTTTTTTTAATATTTTAGGTTGAAAAAATATTACCAATCTAGCATATCACTTAACACTGTTTGCAAAAAAATACATCATCCAAGATACTTTGTTTTTTACGGTACTCTGTAATGTTTGCCTTACCTCAGGGCATGAAACTGATATAAAAAAATAAACCAAATAGGCAAAACCCACAAACCTCACAGACAAAGTAAGAAGGCCTCCCAACTAACTTCATAAAAACAAATAAACAAAACCCAAACCACCCTTCTCTTAAAAAAAATCATGAATGACTAATTTGATGTATCTATGAGCAAATTAAAAATGAAGAGTGCTAAGGAAATAGGAAATAAGAAAAAGAAATTACAGTATGCCAGCTAGTTCATGCCCTGATACTATCTTTACCAACATTAAATGTATAATTAAATAAAGTGTCTTTTAATGTTTTACATTGTGCTCAGTAATTTACATAAATTTAATCTACACCCGGGTGCTGATGTAGACTTACATTTGATTGTCTTGTGCATAAACAAGGTTAGCTTTTAAAGAAGGTAAACTGTGCAATGGACAGTCACAAACAACTTATTACCTGCACAATATTGCTTTTTGAAGGCGACATCAGTCAATGTGAATGCACACAAAGAATGCATACTCTTTGCATTTGCTAACATCTATACGACACACTAAAACTTTGTGATAAGGCCAAACCTTTTTTTTTTGTTTTTAATTTTAAAGAAAAAATATACCGTAGTAAAAAAATGTGCTCACGCTGTTTTGAATCTTTAAGTGGAAAATAAATCTCTATCACACTAGAATAAAATTTCTCTCTATAAAATTTAAATACGGACCACTTCACTGCTATATCAAAAGGAAACGTCTGGCAGTCATTTCCAGATGATCACAATAACAAGACACATTAAGAGGTCCTGTTGCCTCTGCCTTTGTGAAAAGATAAACGTTGAACACTTCAGCTGCTCTCACAGTGAGAGAAGTATGTTCCTTGGTTGTGGATTTTGATTCTGTCAATGAAAAAGGTTTAGCCTTAGGAATGCTGGCTACATCTCAAAACCATAAGACTGATTTTTATAATTTATGATTCATGCAGCAAAAAGTCAATATGACACATACAGGTTAGAGTTCCATAGCATAAAAATACATCACTAGCAATGACATGCTCTGCTTGTGATCTACAGCCTTGTCTCAGCAGATTTCTGATACAAATATTTCTTTCTGGACACCTTTTCCTCTTTCTGATGCCTGCCTCTGAAGAAACAAGCACTTTGCTCAAGGATGATTTTGGACCTTGGCGGTCTAACTCTAACGTCTACATTTTGGCAGAATGTAAACGAAAATCATTATCACACACTATATATGTCAGTATAAATATCATAACTTAACTGAGATTACACATGAAATGAATATCTAAATGCACATGTTAATTAGGGCAAAGCCATGAATGATGACAATCAGGTTTGATAGGAATAATCTTCCTTATAAGACCCACATGTAGACCACAAAGTAAAAATGAGAGTTATGTGGCACCATCAGAAACAAGACTATGGACTGCACTGGAAAGTGCAGGTTTCTTATTTCAGTCAAAGAGGCCAGTTCCCACAAACCCTGTTGACTGCAGTACTGACGTCTGCTACTCAGACTAGTAAATCCAGTGGCTCAGTCCTAGCATGGCTTGAGACCACTGGTATATAAAAGCAGGTATGTGCATAAGTCTTTGCAAGACTAAGGTCAGTATCCACTGCTAAGAGTCTTCAGGAGCATCCTCATGTTCTAGCTGTTTTGCTTTCATGATCATGTTAATCAGGAGTCGTCCTGAGGAAGTCAATGAAGTCACACAAAATAAGACCGGTAGGAGATCAGAGTCAGGCTATTATATGTCAGTACATCAAATCTAAGAAACTAAGAGCCTGATCTTAGTTTTCAATGGAGGAATACTACTAATTCCCCTCTGTTAATCAGTGCCAGATTCCAACTTATTCTGAAACATTAGAAAAATATGCTACCCTACGTCCTTTCTGCTTAAAGCACTGCTGATTTTTGTTGCCAAACCCTAGGAACTTCAGCCCATCTGCAGTCATCTATGGAAGGAGGCCTGATTTTCCAAACGCTGATTAACCACAACTCCAAACTGCATCAGCATCTTGGGAAGTCAGGCCATTCATTAGCTTGCATGCCAAAATGAGCTTAGGTGCTTGAATTCAGACATCCATTTATGCAGGCTGTGTTTTAAAACTTTGTATCTTGCCATGGTAGATGGGAGGAGCAAGTTCCTGTATCAAATGGAACTGGATCTGTATCAAAAAAACTGTTTTTGCAGGAGCCAGCGTGCGAGGTGTTAATTCCCAGCACTGTCTCAAACTGCAGTTCTGTCCAGAGTATTTCAAATATTTTCATCTCTTGCAGTTTCCACAAGCCAATCCAGTCGCTCTTTCACATTTTTTTAAATCTCTGATCTTTCTTTATTTTTTGATTAGTACAATCCTGTCAATCCTAAGCGTTCAAGAACCAAAAGCGAGGGCTACAATAGTTATGAGCTGGGCAAAGTCACTGCTGGATAGTTGTTTCCCATCTCACTATTTAACATTTAGGCTATTGATTTTCTTTATAACCCAATGGATGAGAATTGCTGATCTTAATCAGAGCTGAACCTCTTAAGTAGCAGCATGACTCCAAGAACTGAAGCTCTGAAAAATGCACAAAGCATCATGGACCTTGTAGAGAGGTCACTGTGAATACATCTAGAAGAAAAGCGATGTTTTTTCCCCTCTGTTTCTGCAGCACAGTCAAAAGATTGTACACTAATCCAAGCTCACATTTAGCAGTAACCAGGCGAGATGCTCAGACTGGCATCAGCAGGATCCTCAGATCCATGATGAAACAGAACTCCAAAAGACACGTAATTCTTTTTTGCCAGCCATTTTTGGTATAGATGCAAGTAATGTATCAGCTGTTTTAGTTAGCATTCTGAAAATATCTGACATCCTCACTGACTTGATTAAGTTTTGTGCAGTGGTTTTGCTTTCCATATATGCTGTCAGTGCCTTCTCAAGCCATCTCCAGATCAGATGGCTAAAATGCTTCACTGACTATTGGTGCTGCTCATCTGAGCAAGACTCTGCAGACTTGAACACGTGCTAGTTCACCACGTTGTCTGGCCTTCTGTTCCAAAAGGATAAGAAGTTTTCACTGCAAGACACACTGCTTACATAAGGGATTTGGCTAGAGGCACGCCATTAAAACATATGCTTTGGGATGGAGCAAGCACAGCCCACAACAGAGGTTCTTCAACTTCACCAAACATTTAAGGGCAAATTTCCAATGGCCTGGCTTCCTTGCTACCTGCAGAAAACCCTAAACACCCTGATACCCTTTTATATTCTCACAAAATTATGGGCACAAACCCCTATGTAGCAACATCAATGCTTACAACTTATTTCAGGTACATATGATTTCAAAACACAGGGAGAATGAGATTCCACGTCCCTGAAAACAGAGCCTATAGCACTCCCAAGGCTTTAGTCACTGACATGGTGAAACAGAGGTGGAAAGAATTTAACCTCCCCACTCACACACACATTGTGTCCCATCCACAAGAGAAGTTCCTGAGTATCATGTTTTCATGAGGGGATAAATGTAAAACGTAAGGGTTTAGATGTGGGCCATGAGCTCTGAAAGTCAAGACATCCACCCTAACCATGCCGACTTACTTGCCGGGCAATATATCAATAAATAGCAGAGAAATGAATACAAATGAATGTACAACGCAACAGAATGTGGGATATGAGGAAGTGCAGAATATGCAAAGTCTCTGAGTTCCCAGGAAGATTAGAAAGATGCTTTTGATGTATCACACAAATTCAGAGAATGGTTTAATATCAAGTTTACAAACTCCAGAGATGAACACCCCTGAATGGAGATGAATGACGGAGAATACCTATAATGCTCTACCTATAATGCCCTCACTACAGGCCCAAACAGTCCAGTATTGTGAGTACTGGCATGCAGATTTTGGCAGCAGGACATCCTGTCATTGCTCAGTTCAGTTCCTGCTAGTGCAGTTAATGGAAATAAATTATTTAAAGGATCAAGAGAGAGTCTAGCCAAATAAAACACATACACACCCCAAGGAGGGAGAGAATCTAGCCAATCAGCACATGTAAACACACACACAAGAGGAGAGGGTGAGAGAAGGAGACAGAGCAAAGATAAAAATATGGAAATATGTTTAAGACATCTGCTGAAGATTTGTAATTATATATATATAAAATTATATATTTATATGCATATAAACATTTTATATATATATAAAACAAAAGATTACTGCCAAGCAACACTATTTGTATTACTGGGATAAAGCTGTACAGTCTTGAGCATTGTTAATAACACAGTTGGTTTCTATCCAATCTGGAGATCATCACAATGTTTCATTCTCTTTATCATCATTCTGTGTTCATCCACATCCCTGAATAACTCCGAGGAAATCCTGCTAGCCTGATAAAGAGCCTACTCCTTCAGAGTGCTCCACACACCTCGGATAAAGCAGACTTCTCCACTCTCAGGAAAAGCACCTCAGATGATCATATTTCTCTCCTTACTCTGAAAGACCTTCCCGTGAAGTCACCTGGAGTTCAAATGTACTAAGAACTGAAGGATATTACTTTCTTTTTTTTTATACACATGGAAAGAAAATGAGTCAGTCTCTTCTACCTCTCTGTATTTCTTAAACATTTGATTTACGGGGCACAGTTAAACCATAGCTGCTGGACAGTCCTCAGATAATGACGGGATCATGACGATTACAAAGATCCTAGATCATAATGGCGATTGCTACCATAGAAACAACCATGAAGACTACAGAAATTTCATCTCATGAAACGGTCACTAGCGCCCTGCAAAATACTGGACAGAATTGCCAAGGTCAAGTTAGCAATAGCTGCTTTAATCTGGGGATCAATTTATTTTCTGCCACTTCAATTTATCTCCCAAGTTCTCCAAGTAATGATGCACGTGAGCTGGTGACCACATAATGCTGGTGAATGAGATTGGTCTGTTTATATTTTCACTGTTAAGCTGTCAAAGCATTCACATCAAAGGACCGAGGAACAAACTGCAATAGTCACAAGTACCCGCATTAAAGGGATGTTCTCATCCATGTGTATACAACAGCTCCCCAGCAACCCAACCCGAAACCCAACCCTGCCTCAAGAAACAGAGCAGAACAAGGTAAGGAGAACAAACGAAACGTCCGAAGAGCCGGGCGATGGAATGAAATGGCAGCCAGTAGTGCTATGAGGATGCAGGAGTGCTCCAGTCTCTAATCCTCAAACACCTCCAGGAAGAGTGGAGGAAAGAGTTCAGTGGGGCATTCCACCTTCATGTGCAGGAAGCGGCTGGCATGGCAGGCTCCGATCATCCGCAGATCTGTCACTTTCATCAGCAGTTTTGGCCAAAAGTGTGCAACGTGGTGTTTTCTGTAATTAATGTAGTGTTCGAAAGCCAGGAGGAAACCCTCTTGGCACTTTTCTATCCTCTCGACGCAGACAAGACCTGGGCGATCTGTAGATACAAAGGAACAGAATTACTGTTATTGCTTGTTTACTTTAATGAATGCCTGATCAAAAAATTAGGAGAGAGAGGATGATCCTGTTGTTAGGAAAAAAGAACTGAGACCTGGGACATCTGGCTCTGCCACAGACGACTTTTTGGCCCTGGACATCTCACTTATCTGTGCCTCTCTACTATCCTTGCTAAAAAAGGATGATAATCATTCTTCGTCTGTTTTGCCTGCTTAGAGTATAGCTGTTTGGGGAGTCTTTCCTTACAGTGACTAGAGCAATAGATCCTGGATCTCAGCTGAGGACTCCACCTATATCATAATGTAAAACAACTAGTACAGAGCATTTATATTTCCTTGTCGGAAATCTAAATTACTATTCTTTCCCATCTGTTTAGCTGCAGCCTGACCAGGTGTCAAGCTCTGATCCACAGGGGAGCTGCAAAGGAAACTGTTCAGGAGCAGCAAGGAACAGCAAAGGCCAAATTTTGGTGGTTTGTCTGAATTAGCACCCAGCAGAGCGCTGGTAAAGTTCCCTTCACAAGTCAATCTTCAGGAGACACTTTGAGGAAAGCAGGTCCTCTACAATGCCTTCTGAAATCCCTGTTTATATATCACTGCGTAGGAAACTAAAAAGAAATCAAAATGTTTTCACTGGGAAGGTCAAGTGCTGTGTCGTGATGCATGTGGAAACCTTTTTGTCTCAGCTGTAGTTAATGCCTGTAAAACACTGGTCTATGTATTATTCAGTGCCCAGGCTTTAAAGTGGTCTTAAAACAAAACCTTGCCAAATCTGTCACTGCCCAAGAATGGAATTTCCTCTTTGGGCTGGCACAGTCAGTAGAAGCATATTTGAAAACATATTGGATCTGAGAAGGTCAGGAAAGAAACTTTTTGGAAATCACATGAAGTGGTCTACGCTGCTCCTGCATCATTTCACCAGGAGACCAGTT